GGCCTGCGGCGGCAACCCGAGGGCGCTTCTCCAGGGGCCTCCACCCTCAAAGCAGCCTGAAATCAGGATGCGCTCTGGAGGCCGCCCACTACAGAGTCATGTTTTAGTTTAGGTTTTAGGGTTTGGGCTTTCGGGTTGGCCAGGCATTCATTGTTCACTAAGGCTCTCTGATCAATGGAGCCGGATGAATCAGCAGACCAAAGCTGGCAGTGCTCTCCTCCGAGCTATGCTTCAGTCCGCGCAGTATGAGTACTGGCTGCGCTGTGCTGATCTGTGGCTGGCCACCGGAAGGCTACGCTCAGGTGCCATGCAAAAGTTTCTGTCGTGAGCAGTTCCTACAGTACATGTGCTATCCACAGCACAAGCAGAGGCCACAATTTTGATGTTCCCTGACTTGGCTCCCATTACGTCGCGGTACGTCTCGTGGGTACCATCGAAAATGCAGTGAAGAAGTCTCTTTGTCCAGCAGTATGCTGTCGAGTGCTTTGTTTATGCAGCAGTTGATGCATCACAGGCTTTCCCTGCAAGATTCGGATGCTCAAGCACACATATCTCACCAAAGCACATGCTCGACTCTTAACCCGAGGGAACTAAACAAAAATAGTTTTGGTGTGTATCGAAACCAAGAATCTCTGGGTAGTCTCAAGAGTCATCAATGCTTTGCGTGCGGGACTTCACCATGCAGGTTTTTCCCTTGGCGCCTGGAATCTTGTGCCTCACCAGACAACATAATGAGGTTGGATCCACCGCCACTTGCCCCGGACCTTCACTCTCTTTGTGCAGTGAACCACTCGGTCGTGCAGCACTCCAGGAACCTTGAGCTTATAGCTCTTGGCCGAATCGGTGTGCAACACCGTCTGGCGGTCACGCAAGAGATCTTGCGCTAGCCTTTCCCACTCCACTCTGCGAATCGCGCCTGGCCCAGAGGCGCGCTTCACCGTGATCTTGGGAGTGAGCTTGTGCGGGACCAGGGTGTTGGGACGTCCCCTTTGAATGATGTCAGTCCATTGTTGCTACAGTGCCGTTTCATTCTTGGACTTGATGAAGTGCTGGACGTCCAGAACATTAGAAACATTCCTTTTGTCGAACATGGCCTCATCCGCCTCTACGTCATGCCACCCCTTGCTGTCCCCGAATTTGATAAGCTTCTCGGTGGCCTCGACATAGTCACGGCGGAGCTTGCAGAGTTTGTTTTCCACATCCTCTATGGCCTTGTGGTTGACCCCGAGTAGACGATGGATGACACCATAGGGGATCCCATTGAGGTTGAGGAGCAACAGTGCGGCCTGAGACTGAAGTGACTGCGCTGCAGTACCAAATCCTTCCGAGAAAATGGGATGCAAATGTTGTGGATTTATCCATGCCTGGATTGTCCAAGACTCAAAAACACTGAGAAGCATTACAAAAAGGTAGGTCTTGGGGGGGGTACCTTATATATGTATATATACATATGTAACATATTTCGTACTTAGTCAATCTCTTGCGCCAAAAGGAAAATAAGCTGTTGAGCCCTTCAGTTGAGTAGCTTGTTTTTTGGTGGTAAAACCCAGTAAGACTATATTCCTTATATATAATACTATACCCCAAAAGGAGGATATAATCTTACTCTACATTATAACGGGTACCATAGTATTCCCAATTAAAATACTACTCAAGTAGAGGCAGCGTACACATCTGCCACCCAAACCCTACTTAGAGGGTCAGGGGGACTTAGTAAGTAGATAAGGTTTAGGGTTGGGTTTAGGGTGTTTTTAGGGTTTAGGGTCTAGGGGTTAGGGTCAGGGGGACGTAGTAAGTCTATTATTAACAACTTACTTAGTGAGTAGGTTAATAACAGGAGGATAACTAGGGTTACTATATGGGTTATAGGGATTACAGTATCAAGTAAACCCTAAACCTGAAACTCTGGAGGAATACTTAATGAAGACTCAAACGGAAAAGAGAATGGAACATCTAATGGAAACCGAAGTTACATAGACTGCTTCAAGGACAGTAATAGGCCACTCCTTCTGATAGAATATAATCCCCGACCTAAGCTCGACAACTCAAGATCGTGGCTGGATTTCAACACACGGTGTCGGATTCAAGGTTTAGGGTGTTCAAGGGTTTAGGGTGTTTAAGGGGCTGGAATCTGTAGTAAGTACAGTCTATCAGCCCTAAACTCTAGAACTTACGTACACCCTGAAGCAAAACACTGCAGCTCTTCAGCATGAAGATCGGTGCAGGATTCATACATGCGATTGTGCAAGTGGCATACGTTCTGTCGATACGAACAGTCTCCCATGACCCTGAACACCCTCAGACGTGGGAATTATGAATTATGGTAATCTGTTCCCCAAGGCTTAAGGCTTAGCAGCATCATGTAAGTCACTCCCCCTTACAATAACAGCAACTACAATGGGTAATAGGAGTTATAAATAACCACTTAAGAAGACCCCTACAATTGCTGTAAAGGGGCATGACTTACAGTATCAGAAGGTCGTTCAGGACGCCGTAAGCCCCAAGCCCCAGACTCCGAAGCCTTAGCATCAACCGTAGAAGAACAGCGTAGACAAAGACAAAGAAAGACGAAAGTTGCGTCGCGTGCTGGCTTTTCCGCCCTCTGACCCAAAACGACTTGAGTCTTGAACTCTGGAACTTCAAACTTCAAACTTCAAACCCAAAAACCAGGAACTTCAAACCACCCCTCAACCAGCCCCCACGGGGCACCTCACAGTACAGAGGCTCGCAACACTCCTTCCGCATAGCAACTGTAAGAGCGCCGTAGCAACTTAATATAGGAGTCATATGGGGAAAATGGTAAAGAACATGGAACGTACTATTTAAGGTTTAGGGTTCCGGGGTAGGAGTTATATAGAGGACGTCTTGCAACAGGGGTAGCTCCCAACATATGAAGATTTGGGGAGATATACTACGATGGCATGTAGTGTAGAGGCTTGACTAAGTACGTAATCCCCCTGCATTCCTTGCAGAAGTATGGCATAACGTCCCCAGAGCCAACTCTTCTTACCAATAAGTAAGACACAAACTCAAAAATTGTTCAAGGCATTTACTTAGGTTTCTTTGGCTCCGTCTAAGGCTCACGAGCAGGATTGAATCTTGAGAAGGAGGAGGTGGGACTTTGTAGTGTTGCAGGAAGGGTCCTCCTGGCTTGAGGTGGAGCTTCAGCTTCAGGGTTTAGAGACTCAGGGGTTCAGGGATTTAGGGGTTTAGGGTGACTGCGCCCAGGGCCTCTAAAGATTTGGGACCAATTACGAGCTGCAACTGCTCGACCCTAAGCCCTAAGCCCTGAACTTCATCCTGTCTTAATTTCATTGTGCTGTGCCTGGCCTCGTGTCCAAGAAATACCTAGGCCCGAACCCGGACACCGAATACGTCCCTTCCTGCCCTCAAACCTGAAGCCCTCAACTGTATATGGGGGTTCCCAAAATTTAGGCAACAAGGGATATTTGGGGATTATATAGGGGCCATATAGGGCTTATAAAGGGGTTTAGGGCCTCTGGTAAGGATTATTATCATATTTGGGAGCCCCCTAGCAGAGATGGTTCCAACGGAAAAGAAATTGGAAAGTACTTTTTTGACCGTATGGGCCACAATAGGGATCGATTCGCCTATTCCCTACGCACAAGCAACAAGCGTCAGCCTCCTGCGGAGCACCCAGAGCTGGATACAGTAATCTCCCAAAATATAGGCAGCCGCCCATATAGACGACTGCCAATGCCAGGCGCCAACACTCGAAGCAAACTCTGACTGCGCGGCCGCAAGACAAATGCTTGCAAAGGCTGACACAACAAGCGTGCACAGGCAAGGGCCTCAAAATCCTAAACCCTAAACCCTAAGCCCCAAAACCTGAACCCTAAGAGCCTAATATCTTAGGCCTGGCCTGGAACCCTAGACCCTAAACCCTCAACTGCAAACCTGAAACCCGGACCTGACACTCTAAACTGGGTTGCTGTTACAGAACTTAAATTAAGTTACCAGAAGATGGGTATATAGTAAATAGTAGAGTTTCCTGTTATAGTAACTCAGCTTAAGTGCCTTAACAACGACCCAGCTTATGGACCCTGAAGCCTAACCCCTAAACCCTGAGCCCTAAACCCTAAACCCCAAGCTATTCACCCTAAACCCTGAACCTCCCTAAGCCCAAAACCCTCTTCCCAATAAAGCTGTATCTAGAACTGCTGGATCTCCTCGTTGGTGCTGCCCTGGGTGGACTCTCGGGCCGTCTTGTTCCTCCGGCTTCGTTGTTTAAGGCTTCGGGCTTAGGATTAAGGGTTTAGGGTTTAGAGGTTTAGGATCTGGGCATTGGTTCTTAGGAGTGTGGGTCAGTCAAGATATCTTAATCGTTCAAGGACTTATGGGGTGATTAACAAGGCTTTTCGGACCTAGAGGGCCGGTTGGTTTGGTCACAAACTGATGACAATGGCCACTCCCAGACGGGTTATTCATACCGGCAATCGACGAAAGCAAGCGTACAGGCACTGTTATGCCCATCTGCATGCACCCACACGCATAAGCACACCCCCCTCCTTTACGTCAGCTCCGTCAGCTTAGATCTGCTTTCCAAGCCCATCTTCAAACACGCGGCGTCCGGGCGCTATACTGTTTCGAGCATTGTCAGGTACAGGCTATGATACAAGTTATACGAGGAAATTTGACAAGAGCACGTGCCGGCCAAACAATGTTCCTCTAGTAGCCCAGTAGAGCCTAAGCCTAAACCCTAAACCCTAATGGAGCCTTTTTTGGGGCTTCATTTTTGGATCCTTTAAGGGGTCTTGGACAGTTGAACACAGATTGTGCGCATATTGGATCTTCAACACTTCCATGAGCGGGCTTTGAAGCCTAAACCCTAAACCGTAAACCTAAACCCTAAACCCTAAACCTAAACCCTAAACCCTAAAACCTAAACCTCAAACTCTAAACCCTAAACCCTAAACTCTAAACCCTAAACCCTAAGCCCGTGGGATTCTCAGATTGGGGTTTTGAATAGGTGAAGGCTTCAGGGATCTCCTACTGTTGAGATTAAAGAT